CCGGCCCTTCCCCGTCCCTCCGCCGGGTTGTCCGCACCCTCTGGCCGCCAAAACGGGGGGGCTCTTTCCTTGCCCCCCCCGGGGCAGCCTGCAGTAAATCACTCGCCAGTATCAAATACAAATCAGTACAGTAAACACGGCCCGGCCTTCCCTTCCCCGGGGAACGTCGTGTTTTGTCACCTGAAATGTTTGTATTTCCTGCCGTATTGTGGGTCTGATGAAGTAAAAGGGAATGAGGCACTGAGAGAAGGGGAATCTCCAGAATTCAGAGAAGAATTAAATGCTGTTTTTTCCCACACACAGCAGCAGGATTAGGGGTAGAATCCAGATTTAAAAGACTGTTGCTACCAGAGAGAAACTTTACAGCACTGTAGGTTTTTTTAGATTTAATTCTTAAACAACTAACCCTGCTGCACTGACTGATGTGTGTGGGGAAATCAACAGACCTTAGGTTCTCATGTCTAATTTCTTGTAACGTTGATTCAGCATCTTAAACACAAAACTGATTAAACTTTGGGGTTTACATAAGACTGTATCTTTACAGCAAATGTAGTTTTCATTCTGTGTTTCCATATAGGCAGGTCTGGCTGCCACTGTGACCTGTAAAGTCACTTTCAGAGTAATTTCCCTGATAGTTAGAGGTGACTAGTATTTTTCAGACTAAATATTAGGTTTACATTACCTGGCATCTCTCTGAATGTGAGACCTGGTCTTTATGGCATCTCAAGAGAGTGGGAGTCATCATAACCTATTAAAAAACCCTGATGGTTTTGTGCAATACTTTGTGCCCTTATGGAGTGCAGGGGTTTTTGGCCATTTCTTGCTCCTGCTTGGCAGATACTGGTCTCAGCTGTTCTGCTCATGTCTTCCTGCTGCCCTGGCTTCATCCCTGACTTCAGGACTGTGTTATAACACATCTAGCCCTGAAAATAAATATCAGAGTGTGGCCATGTCACAATCCAGGTGCTACAGTTGATGGTTCTTGGGGATTGTAGCACTGTTAGGTGCTTCACATCCTTCATTTGCACACATCCTTATTCCCTGCTGAAGAAATAAACCATGCAACTTGCCACATGAGCAAAACAGAAGCACCAGCTTCCTTCTGGCTGATGCTGAGAAAAAAAAATAAATAAAAAAATTAAAGCTTTATCTCAGCCAAGACATCTGATTTGCACTGGCAAGTTGCTCATGCTTCCCTCTGTGGTTTCCAAGCAGAGCAGGATAAAGGGCTTGAGCTGAATGCATTGGATGGTTCTTATCTCTCACATCAAGGTACAGCTTCTCAGTATGCAAAACAACTTGGTTTGAATGGAAGGCCCTAGGCAGGCCACACATCTGGGTTGCAAATGAAGGTGGCTATACTTCTTTCCCCTTTTAAAATTCCTGCATGTCCACTAACAAAAGAGCCATGTTCCTGTTTTAATGGAGATGTTTTTGTCTTTGGAAGGTTGGATGGTACAATGCTGTTCTTCAGCCAGCCTTTCATCTCCCCTACCCAGATGATACCTTGGCTTTCGTGATCCTCAGCACCCCTTCAATGTTTGACAAAGCCCTTAAACCTTTTGTGAAAAAAGAACGGTTAAAGATAATCAGGGATCCTGTGGATCAGTGTGTTTGTCATCACTTATCATCTGTGAAGGAGGTAAGAACCTGAAATACCTGCTCCTTTTACTGTTGTGGCATAGAATCAGGTGGGTTGAGCAGTAAGACAAAGCCCTCCAGGTTCCTGTCCTTGCTCTTTAGAAGGGTAAAGCATTATTCGTGATGGCAAGAGCCTCAACAGGCTGTTGACCTGCATTTCTTGCATATTCTTTCTTTGCCTCTGCATCCTGTAGCTGTGTGGAGTGCTTGAAATCCCAAGGCCACAAGTATGCTTATAGATTCCAGTAGCAGCACATGGAAATCTGCAGGCTTCCCACGTGCCTAGTTTGCTAGTATCCACTGCCTCTGTAGTGGCACATCTTTCTCCATGAGCCTGGGCTGATGTTTTTTTTAATTTTCCCAGAAATTTCCTGACCAGAAGGTGGACATCATCTTTGATTATGAGATCCTGCCAAGCCGAAAGCCCAAGTTCTTGGCACAGACAGCTGCCCATGTCGCTGGAGCTGCATATTACTACCAAAGGAAGGATGTGAAGTTTGATCCTTGGGGAAAAAAGGTGAGGCAGAAACACAGTCTAGAAAGAATGGCCAAGCTGCAATCACTCGTTCTTCCTGCTGGAAAATACAAAGTCAGGATCACAAGAAAGTGTATTTTACATATAGAGTTTCAGACAGGAATTGGAAGCCAAGATTCTTCAGGGTGGTAGGAGGATGCACACATGGAGAAGAGTATCTTGATCAATTAAACCTACTTAGACAGGAGAATAAATTTCAGTGTAAAAGAAGACCTGTTGCTTAGAGCATTATAAATAGGGGAAAAAAATGCACTGTGGTTAATTACTGTGTTAGATTTTCAGAAAGGGACCTTTTCACACAGGGTTGTGTGTGTGGGCACAGGAAAATGGGAATGAAATGCAATGTTCAGGAAAGAGCTTTCCTTTCTTCTCTGTGTAGCACTCCAGCAGGGGGCTAGGAGTGTAAGAAGTAGCATCAAAGCTTGATACTTTGGACTCTAACCATTACTAGACACATCCTAGATCCTTCTTTTTTTCTTCCAGAAGATCTACGGTGTATGTATCCATCCCAAGTATGGAGGTTGGTTTGCTATCCGAGGTCTCCTCGTGTTCCCGGATATTCAGGTCCCATTCCTGGAACAGCCTGCCCCTGTTGACTGTGTGAGCTCAGAGGAAAAAAGAATTGAGTTGCTGGAGCAATTCAGCTTCCACTGGCAGGACGGCCGCTACAGGGACATCATTGAAGTGAAGGAGAAGTACTCGGAGGAGCAAAAAGCCTACTTTGCCACTCCTCCAGCAGAGAGATTCAGGCTGCTGGGGCTGACACAGGAAGCCCAGAGGAGCACATTTCACTGAGTAAGAAGGCTCCATGGAAGAGTGGAGGGCAAGCCAAGTGTCACTCATCAGCACCTCTTCCACAGCGCTGAGGAGGGTGTGCAAATACAGATGGCAAATCCAAGCAGCATGTGCAGCGTCTCAGTCCCAACATCAGCTCCCCAGAGCAAGAGGCAGCACTGACTGCATCACAGCACCTGGCGTCTGGAGGAGGGCAGGAGAAGGCCCTTCTGTGCTGCCGCTAGTATGGTGTGTCTTTTGGGGAGTCTGGTAAGATTAGCCCTGGATTGGAGTAATTCAGACACCCTGGCAAATGGAAAACCTCTGCTGCTCATTAGAGAAGTCATTTTTGTTCTCAAGAGTTTTCTTTCCAAGTGTTTTGGTTCTGTTCCATGTAAGAGTAAGAAAAAGTTAATCTTCAGTCATTGTACTCCAAAATATTGTTTTTTCATCTCAACTGAGGGCATACATTTTTTTTAGATGTATCCAGCTTTTTATTACTCTGATATAACTCTCCCTAGGGAGTAACTGTTCAGTCTCTTCAGTTTTGCCTTCCTCAGAAAATTTGCCCTGTATTCCTTCACTTGCAGTCAACCTGACTTAATTTAATTAAGAATTTTTGTAATGTCTCCTTTCCTTAACATCCCAAAGAAAATTCTCCAGAGTAGTGTGGTCCTGTATGGGGAGC